ACGCAACTAAAGTAATCAAGAAATCAGATAATAAACTAGAATAATGTAATGAACTGCTAGTAGGCTATTTTCAAGTGGGTTACACTTGCGTCTCAGCTCCACCCCCGGAGGATGGGAGGGAAGGCTGCAAGGAAAAGTCGCGAGGACGGAGGATCCTCGGTTAATTCCTTCATTCGTTTCTTAACTGCCACAATCAGCAACTTACATTTTGTTGGTTGATTAGTATCTTTTAACTAAAATTTCATGTGATTCAGTCTGTTTTACTTGTCTAGACCAATGTAAAAAAAGCAAATTCACCTTCTGACAGTGGGTGGTGGTCAATGTGTATAGGTGGCAGTGCTGCGCAACTTTCGATTTCTCCAACCCTAATCAAACACACCTGATCCAGCTGTGGCCCTCCAGGAATTGAGTTTGAGATTACTGATTTAGAGCATTCAGTTTACATTGTTGATTACGGCAACACAATAGTTCTATAGCAAACATTGTTCAGCACTTTCAAGACAATCCAACATATTTCTTACAATTTGTTATGATCAAAAGAGTTTGAAAAACTATTTTATTTAGACACACTGACATCAATAATCTGCCTGTGAGTCTCAACAATGGTGACAATAATAAAGTATGATGAAGTGCATTATGGGCTCCACCAATCAAAACTCATTCATGGCTCCCATCATGCATTGCTGCATGGATAAATAATGATCTTATGTTCAGAGGTGATCTGTTTGTCACCATTGCTGTGATTAGACTTGATGAGTTCAGCGATTCAGGTCAATTAATGATTATGTTGAAACACAACCAACACCATCAGATCACCTTTTCTATTTGTTCATCTGGCTGTTACAATTCACATACAGCAGCCAAACAAAATCTAAAGTTAATGAATTAAGGGTCAAGAGACCAACTAAAGCAAATACTGATCACGATAATGGTGACTTAAACATTACGGTTTTCTCCTTCAGTGATTCTGCTTGTTATCATCAGGTGTCTTCAATAATGCTCAATCATCACTCAATTATTCACTTAATTATCTCTTTAACTTTAACACTGCTTCAGTGTTCATTTAACACTCTGCTCAGAGTTTATATAATTCTCACTTCTCGGTGTTAATTTAACACTGGGGATTTTGCTGTGCTTGAACTAGAGTGGGTCTCAATATTCATTTAGCAGGCTCTTCTCATTCAGCGCTGTGGGAAAAATATAATTTCTGGGTTCTAATTTGTCCTTAGAAAACCAGTAAAATCAACTTTTTCAATCAACAAAAATCAATCAAGATTTTTGTGAATATTCTAAATGTTAACAGAAATCAAAAATCTGAAAATGCTTTTTGCGCAGCATTTGGTGTATGCAATAGGAAAAACTCATCTCAAGCCAGAGTAAACAACAAGGGCATTTGTACAGCGTCCAGGGCAAACTGTGTTCAACTGAAATATTAAATATTGATTATTCATCTCGTCTCTTGGAACCTGTTTTGGTTTTTTTAGAACTACTAGGAAGGAGAGAACCGAGAGAAGTGATCCAGAACCTGCAGAATGAATCATCATGATACTGAAGAACAAAAAGGTTGGTGTTTATTCTTGATTCCTTGTTAATCTTTCATGATGAAGAACATACTGATGCTCACTTGATTTACATTGTTTCAGGGTGAGAATTAAATATCTGCAAGATCGGCCTCCGTTAACCTGGTCTAATAGGTGCTAAAAAAAATTAGATACAGCAATTTACTCATAGACAAGCTTGGCAACTCAAATAGACCGCATGCCAATTTGTATGTCAATCGGAATAACGCTGAAGTAGTTACAGCTGTTTGACATTTACATATACATACTGGAAGCTTTTAAGCTGGCTATTATTAAATCTCTCTCTTTTTTTATTTAAAAATACTTCCGTCAGTATTTAGACGTATGAACCTCCTATGACTCATACACGTCTAGCGCTCTCGGATACTTCACACTATAACACTGAATAAGGCGAGAAAACACGAGAGACCACTGAATAAAGTGAATACGTTTTAATGAATAGATAAAAAGCAGAACCAACCACAAGGAAAAAGGGGAAAATGAACTGTGCCAAAGAAATGAAAGTTACATTAAGGTTATCTAACACATTAAACAGCTAATAGTATGATACGAAGAAAACCCAAAAGAAAAGTCTTCAACGTCCAAGACGTCATAACTAAACTACACTAATTAAAAAACATAAATACAGCGGGTGGCACAATCCTTAGCTAGTGTTTTTATGCTGACAGGTTTAACTATGTGTTTACAATGTATGTCACGTGACAAATGAACGTAGCAAACACAGAATGTTCCCCTAACGTTCCCGAATGAGGTTATTTTTTTGGGAACCAAACAAGAACATTGTAGGAACGTTCCATGTAGGTTATTTTTAGGTTCCATTTTTATAACACAAGGAGAATGTTCCGGGAACGTTCTGGGAACCAAAAACTAACGTTCCCAGAACCTAAATTTGTTAGCTGGGTATCCCCTTTTTCTTTGTAGATCGCCACGTTCACAAAGGAGAAGGTTTTGGGCGCAGTCAGAACAAGGAACGATGAATATACACGTGAACAACGTAACAACGATAAAACACATAACAGTTTCTCCATGTCTTAATGTCTCAAGCAAAACCTCTCAAACTTAAGATAAAGCTTCTCTAGAACTCTGAACGTCTTTCAATCGCAAAGCAAATTTAAGACATAGTTCGTATCGCCAATGTTCTCTCAATGCAACGTTCTCTTGCAGGTCTTTATGTATCCACTTCACCAGGTGTCACTCAGATGCAGATCCCGCCTTCCACTCATCGTCTTAACTGACAGCCAATCAGCTACAACCAGAGAAAGTGAAAGTGAGAGAAACAGATAGAGCGGAAAAAACATAACCCCCCCCCCCCACACACACACACACAAATATAAACGTTCTTACGGATGGACGTAACAGTATCATAGTCTTGAGACTGCTGGGTGGTTGCCCTGCACGCTTAATAAACAAACCACAGCTAGTTCAAAACGCAGCAGCTCGAGTTCTTACCAGAACCAGGAAGTATGACCATATTAGCCTGGTTTCGTCAACACAGAATTAGCTCATTATTAAACATCGTATAATTTCTAGTATTCAAATCATGTTAAATGTAAGACTGCATCATAAATTAGGTCTGCCAGAACCGGGAACACTTCCCAAAACACCTGATGTACTCGTTATATCAAAATATGATTGGTATCTAATCTAATATTAGTCTCTTTGTTCCTCCCAAGGTATACTGTAGTCAGCCGGATCCAGATCAGATGACGGACCTGTGCCTGGACACGACCACAACGCAGCCCTGAAGTGTCAGCAGGGATTGTGTCGACTCTCCCCTGCAAAGGCCTTCTTCCCTTTCCCTCTGTACTGATAAAAACATCAAAATGTTTCTCGATCACATGAATCCGCAGAAACGACAACCATCGCAAAATGGCAGCAGCCGCATTTGAACGAAACGAGAGATCAAGTCCAGGATACCAGATGACATAATTAAATAAGAGTACATAAAATAGGATTTGACTGAGTTTTAATATTTTATCAGCTCACCAACTGCAAAACTCGTTCCTAGCTAGCGTATAGCCAACGCATTCTCATCCTTTAGCGTCATATAGAACGCTAAATGACAAAGCGGCGCTATACTACGCACATGGCACCCGTTATCGTTAATATAACATGCGCTGTGAGGGCTAAGGTAGGGTCTGCGTGTCATATTCACGCTAAAGGATTTATGACGTCTTCGGTTCGCGTGTTATATTAACGATAAATGGTGCCATGTGCGTAGTATAGCGCCGTTTTGTCATATAGCGTTTTATGTGACGCTAAAGGATGAGAACGGGCTGGTATAGCTGATGACTAAAATCATTTAATATTGTTTTCAGTATTATTATTGTATTATGTATCTGTATAATAGCTTTTTATATACATTCATAATCATTTGTAACCATTGTTTTTTATGAATCATAATGTGTTTGGATGTTTTTGAATACATATGTGGGTAAGAGAGACTTTGGGCCCTTTCTTGCATCCAGCCCAATTTACTTTGTACATCATTCCCATACAATGTCTCTTCTCTGTCCCTGGCGAGAACCGCCAAATCCGCCGTTATAAAAGCAATCCGCCATGGAAAATGCACACCTGCTCTTAAAGGGAATGTGAGAGGACGCTCTGATTGGTTTATTTCAAACCACACCTGTGAGTAATGAAGCTACTTCAGACCAACCCATTTTAGATTTGTGAGATCCGCAAACAAAGTTACTTGATGAGTTTTGGTACTTGGGGCCCTATTTTAACGATCTGACGCAAGTGTCACAGCGCGAGTAACTTTGTGGGCGGGTCCCGGCGCTGTTGCTATTTTCCCGGCGGGATAAATGCCTCTTGCGCCTGGCGCAAATCTAAAAGAGGTTGGTCTGAAGTAGCTTCATTATTCATAGGTGTGGTTTTGGCGTAACGTGAAATAAACCAATCAGAACGCAATAAATGGGCAATAAAAGGGCAATAAATACCCTTTAAGAGCAGGTGCGCATGTTGCATGACGGATTGTTATTATAACGGCGGGTTAGCAGCGTTCACAGCCGATGAGACCGATGTTCTTGTCAGGACAGTGAAAGACAGACGTGGCGTTGTATGGGGATGGGAGAAACCCTCACACATCAGCGTCGGTTAAACATATACGTATGTTTCTTGCTACTATTGGGCAAACAGGTCTGATCCTTTAGTACTACAATTAGCCTTAAAAAAAATTAGGTAATTAGGTTTTGTCATCTTCATTTAAACCACAACGATTTCCCTCATGTGTTAATATTTTCCCTTGTTATAATGTATGATTTGCAAAAATAAAAACTGCTGCATCTGTGTTGATGAGAGAATCAAAGTGTATGCGCGTTGTGCACCCGCTACATTATGGGCAAGCATGCGCGCTTAAAATAGCATTATGAACAACGCGCAACTGACTTTAGACCAGTTTTTTTCTGGTCAGTGGCGCAATTGTTTTCTGGAAGTGTAAAATAGCACCAGGGAATGTTTGCGCTGATCCGCCCAGGGAGCGCAAGTTCATTTCCAAGTTTATCAACGTGCGTCTGTGAAGGGGAAAAAGCCCGCTTTGCGCGCATGCAAAATAGGAATGAGACATGCGTTTGTGTATGAAGTGATTTGCGCCGGGTGCAAGATAGAGCCCATGGTATGTTTGATACTTACAGTAGGGTAGTGATGCTCGTAGGTTCATTTCTCGAACATTTTACTTTCAGTAAAACAGTACAATTGTAACCAGTGATGTATCTGTGTGTGTGTGTGTGTCTGAATGACGCTGCAGCTTGACGTATTTTGTGTACTTTAAGAAGTTTTGTTTTTTCTCAAATGAAATAGGCTAACAGTGATAATATGCTCACATTGCTGGAGCAGTATGGCCTAGTTTCGAAAGTTGAGTGTCACTCAGAGTCAAGACCATGTAATACCACAAAGTAAAATCATCAGTGTTAAAGTACACAGTTCAGAGTTTATATGAGCCTAAGAGTTATACTGGATAGTGTCACTACATAGCAACGGATTTAAACACTAATAGTTGATGAGATGAGAGGAAGTTACCAACCATAGAAGTTGCTGACAATGTTTAATAGAAGAGCTGTAACTATATATAATGAAGAGGAAGACGGACAGAAACGGACAGAAGCAGAAATGTCTGATCAGTGTGATCTGTGTCTGCTGGGACTGATCATTCTCTCTTCACTTCTCACAGGTAAATACATTAGTTTGTGGATATAGTGTCACTCAAACATCTGATAATGCAGAATTATATTCATATTACAAGCGATTTGAACAGATAAAGACAAATAGTCTACTCTGCACTGAGTGAGAAAGAAGACTGAAGACTTAAAAATGTACTGGTTAATGTTAGTTCTATTTATTCATTTTCATAATAATTTCATAAGGTCTTTTGTGAAGTCAGATGATGTTTGTACATGTGTGCTGAGCAGAGAGCTGGTAGAGTTATATTTTGCTTAAAGGTATGAGTAAAGTGTAATGTTCACTTATCAGAGATGTTCCAGTGATGAATACACTTCATCACTTCATCAAATGGATGTTTCAACTGATACAAATACTGTTTGCATACCACTAATGTATACACTGAGACTCTTAATGTGAGAAGTGGAAAGTACCACATGTATGACATATAAGTTCCATTTTTAAACATAAGCTAAATGTTTTGCTACCAAGGAAGTTGTAAGTCTCTCTGTGATGTTAATAAACTCAATCTTAGAGAAACATAAAGGCATGATGGGATGAGAAGATAGTAAATCTGTATTGACATCCTCTCATGTATTTTCGCTCTGTCTGACACATAATAAATATAAATATCTTTGATAAAGTCACTGGTGTTGCTTCCGTGATTCAACGATAATGGGGGAACAGGATTTATCAAATCTACCAAGACTATGATTTAAAACTTCAGCTTTTTATAATATATATGATCACTGAAATATTGGAATCTCCTGTTTATATCTTGTGTTTCAGGCACCAGTGGAGCGGATGATGTGTTCATCAGTTCTGGTGTAGATGTCCGTCTGTCCTGTAATAAAACTCTTTCTGACTGCAAATCAACTACATGGATCTACTCTAACAGATTCAGTCATTCAGCAGGAGTTGAACTGATTAATTTAGGGATAAAGAAGAAACACACAGAGAGACATGAGAGACTGAGTCTGGAGTCTGACTGCTCTCTGAACATCAAGAACGTCACAGAAGAAGATTATGGAGTATACAGATGCGAACAATTTGTGAACGGACAACAACAAGGAACTGATGCACGTGTTTATCTGCATGTTCTTCATGGTAAGTTTATGATTATTTGGTCAATTTAAAAAGGGCAGATTCTTTATTAAACTCAGATGATGATTGAAGAGTCTGTGATTTGTGTCTTGTGTTCAGTTTCAGTGTCTCCATCTTCATCATCATCTTCATCCTCACAGACTGAGATCAGTCCAGGCCGCTCTGTGACTCTCTCCTGTCAGTTGAATTCATATTTTAGACTCTCCTGTGATTATTTGGTTCGTTATGAGGGAGTTGAGCTGTTGTGGGTGAATCAGGCTGGTGTTGATCTGAAGACCGACTCCAGATATCAGATATCATCATCATCATCATCAGATCAATATCGCTGTATCATCACTCTGACTACAACACTCCTGGATGAAGATAACAACAGAGAGTGGAGATGTCAGCTTACTCACAGAAATCAACTCCAGACCTCAGTCACATACACTGTCAAGTATTCAGGTAAGAAACACTGTTAGAAGACAGATTTGAGAAAACTTCCACAGACTGGCTCTACTCTTTATGATGACTTCATACGTTTGGATATTGTAAAATATTAGAGGACAGTAAGTCACACTGCATAAAAATCCTCCTACATGGGTCATCCATGAAATATTGCACACATCTATTAAAGCCTAGTATGACCCATGTAGGAGTTCAGCTTTAGGAGTTATACGGCTTAATAATGTCCTTCATTCAGGAAAGCTGAAGGTTTATGGGAAGCAGCTCAACTGTGTTTCACTCTCATATAAAGCAGGAATAAATGATCCAGTAACATCTCTCTTCTCAACTACTGCCACTGTAAGCTGTGATGATTGAACACAAACTGCATGTCATGATCAATGTGAAGATATGATGTTAATGTCCTACAGGTGATGTGTGTGAACATTCATCTTCTGCAGCTCCAGTCTCTTCAACAACACTGACTCCAGTCAGCAGATCAAACTCTGAGAAGACATCAAGCAGAACTACAGCAACAGCTCCTACACAAGGTTCATGATCACATGACCACTGGCACACATCATCACTCTCGCTTCAGTGGTTTGATCACACCACAGTAAAATCAGCCGGATAATTCCATCAATTCAGTATTGAAACCTCAAAGGATATATTGTGTTCATGCATTAAAATATGACATATTTCTATTTCCATCTTGTTTTCTAATAGTTGTGACTTCAACTACATCTACTACAGTAACAGCACGTCCCACAGGAACTGCTGGATTATTATACAGAGGTACGACACGTTGATTTAGACCGACAGCTTTCTAACATTACACTATCAGTCCGTCTGTAAATGCTTCATCAATAACTGTTGATAGATGAAGACCCTTGACTTCAGTCATGTCCAGTTTCTCTTCTTCCTCTCATGTTTCCTGCAGTGATTGTGAGTATTGTTGAGATGGCAGTGTTTGCTGCTCCTACTGTGATTCTTCTTCAGATCATCTGTGCAAGAAGAGCTGGTGAGTTTGAGCCGCACACACTCTGAAGATTCACACTCGTCTGATTCTGAACATCTGCAATCATGATAAACACACACCAGAGGTCAAGCAATGCTTTTATTTTGCAGGGAGGAAGAACTCGAGACACCCGGAAGAAATAGAGATGTCTGCAATACAACAATAAAATACAGAGTTTTGAGCGAATCTGCAACAATAATTATGATTGTGTGATTGTTTGATTTATTTTCTTCCTTCTTGATCATCCTAAAGAAATATTTGGTTCAAGCTTAGATTAAAATTTATTTTTATTTTTATAAAACGCCAGATTTATTTCCATTTGAATGGGTTTTATGGACATTTGCCTGTAGTGATGAAAGTCATTTTCTTGTGTTTCATATGTAAACTGCTTTAAATATAACAATAAGTTGAGTAATGGACAGAGGCAGACTGTAATATCAATGATCTGTTCGGTGTGATGCAGCTGATTTGGTGATTGTTTTTCTTTTTGAATTATTTCTACTTATTTTCTTAATTAAACCTCTACATTTGTGTTTAATATGTCTCCTTTCCTGAGGATGTCTTTTCCTTGTGATGAGCTCGTAATATATTGTAATATAGGAAACTAAGTGTGAGTATTAAACTATACTGGTGCATAAGGACCCACACAGATTATTGGGTGAGCAGCGCCCCCTGCTGGCCTCACTCACAGCAGCCCTAGTTTCCCAGGAGTCTCCCATCCAGGTAATGACCAGACTCAACCCTGCTTAGCTTCAGTGGATGACCAGTCTTGAGTTACTGGGTGATCTAGCTGTGACTAACTTACACAGAGTAGACTTTGTTTCTCAGCACATAAAATCCCCAATGTTAAATCAACACTGAAAAGTGAGAATTATATCAACTCTGAGCAGAGTGTTAAATAAACACTGAAGCAGTGTTAAAGTTAATGGGATAATTCAGTGAATATTTGAGTGATGATTGAACATTATCGAAAGACACCTGATGTTAACAAGCAGAATCACTGAAGGGGAAAATCGTCATTGGTATGTTACCATTATGGTGATCAGTGTTTGCTTTAGTTGGGCTTCTGACCTTAAGTCATTAAGTTTACATTGTCTTTAGCTGTTGTACCTGAGTTATATCAGCTAGATGAACAAGAGAAAGGGTTATTTGATGGTGTTTGCTGTGTTTACAGACGTGTTGAAAAGCATGTGTACACAATGTTTTAAAGCAGCGCTCAGTAAGACTGGGAACTTCTTTGCTGTTTTCTCGCAGGTTTCTCTCTCGAGCTCCCCCTACAGTTTCGGAGTATATATATATGAGAAAACTGTCGTAAACTCGTAACTCTCCGGACGGATGGGACATCTCCCCACCACTTTTTGACAGGGTTGATTTTGTCCCCACCAATTTTAAAACATCTCGCGGCACAGATGTACCAATGCAAAAACATCTCCAGTTAACAGCATTCGTTTCATTTGTTTGTTAAATAACAGGCGATCTAGCACTGAAATGTGTTACCTTCTCTCAGAATTGCGCTTCAATCCGTGGCGGAGATTCTTTCCGGTGAAATCACAAATCAAAATGCACACAAACGTGTCCCTTTTTCTCATTGTTTCTAATTCCTCTCTCGTATATTTTTTCCCACTCATCAAAACATATAAAACCACTGATAAACATTATTAAATTCAACCACTGATAAACTTTATTGGTTTTGATGAGGGGGGAAAAAAACTATTCGAGTGCGGAATTCTACCTCTGGACGGACCATCACTGTACATATGCTATCAAGGGCGTATATTTTCTATATACTCTCTATACTCGGACATTGTGCTCATTTTTATTTATGTGCATCAGGAAGCTACAGGACATCGTCTTTCAAAACATGACCTACTCGAAAGAGAAAAAAAGAATGAATGCGTTATTGTAGCATACCCAGCACTTTTGAAAATGCCCTTCCGAATGCGTCTCTGTCCCCAGCACATTTCAAACCAAACTGACGCCCGAGCCATGTCCACTGAGGTATGATTCTCAGAACAATATTATTCAAATGTTGAGATAGTGTATATTTTTATTGTGTTACCAAACGTAATCAGTAACATTATGGTTAAAAATCAATACTATAAGAAATATTTCCGCTATTTATTTATTTTTAGTTTAGCCTACAGCTATAGCTACTTAGATTATGCATTATCAAAATAAATGTTACGTTACATCTATCATTTTTCTGGTGATCAGAGTTGTCTATCGTAACGATTGACCAAAGAAAGTCAACACGTTTAATTTGTTTATTACAAGTTTGTTTATTTTAATATTGAAGCTTGAGACCGGTGGTACTGGTGGTCTGGGGTGCCTCGGAGTTGATGACACTTGCCAACGCTTGTAGCTAAAAAGGAAAAAGAAAATGTATCAATCTTTTTATCAACATATAATTTATACACAAGGTCAAACTAGCACATATGGAGTTGCATGTGTGAAGTTGCAATGCTATTTCTCGTTTACTTATAGTTCTGTTTGTGTAAATGTGGGTAAATAAATATAAAAAGTTGCATTATTAGCTAGCAGCTCTCGTGTCGGTTTATGCATTACATATCAAGTCAGCAGCACAGTATCACGTTACTAATTCTGAGGCTGACGACAAGCTAAACTAATGCATAATTTGTAGAATTTCATATCGATTTATAGGCGATCTGAGAAACACAAATAAACCCTGCTAGAGGAACGGACAAAACACTAACTTACAGAAAACAAGCAAGTTTGTTTGCTAATGAAAATGCTAACATCTAAGTTACAGTATCTAACATACTAGTAAGCCGGTAACAGACAGCGAGCATAATAATAACAAAAAAAAACAGACAATAGCAAACATCCCGACTCCCGAGGTCACAATTACAAGAAATACAAACATTAAACACAGTTTATTATAAAGATAATTACAAGTGCAACAGCAAGAAGGCCAGGTCAGCATCGATTTTGCAGGCTTCGCTTTCTTTCAGTTCTATCTATTCTGAAAAAGCCGGTCCGTTTTCTCTTTCTTTGTTCCTCTGATAAACACTTCCGAGCTTTCTTCTTCTTCTTTTACATCAGCCATCACGAAAACTTGAAGAATTCAATATCTAGCGTTACCTTTTTCTTATAGCTAGCCGGCTCCTGGATGGATGGGGACGTGTACGCATGCGTGTGCTCGTATAGTGCCGTAAAGCAATTCGTTACCTCGCGAGACCTGAAATCTCACGATACTTCCTAACACTGAGGCCGGCGAGCCGCCGGCCCAAAGTTGCAAGGGTGGTTTTGCGGCTCATAGGCACCAAGGGGGTGCGAGACGATCACCATTCAACACGAAATCAGTAATATAAACATTACAATGACTCCAAAGCTGTTCAGTTAAGGTAAAAAAAGTTACTTAGTTCTGCTTTAAGAAAGTGAATCACATAGTCACACACAGATATCAAGATTTTAAATATTATTCACAACAATGGTGACAACCAAAACAAAAAAGCTTGGGAATCAAGGATGTTTTGTACTATGAAAGCTACCCATCATGCATTGCAGCATGAAGCTTATTTTTTAAATGTACTGTCACCATTGTTGTGATACATATGCAAAATATTGATGTCTAATGGTTTTGTTTTTTATAGAAAGCAGAGACTTGAGGCAGCCAATCTTTTTTTATAATAATTATAAATAATTTTATTATATTTAGTTTCTCAATGTTTCCACACAAAGTAAGCAGTTGGAGTCAGTTGACCAGTTCCACCAGCAGGAGTCAGGCTTGGATCATCAAACAATGGAGAGGCTTCTGACACAAACATGAATACTGTACTTTTATAATGCATATTACATATCACACCTCTTCATTACATATTCAATCTCATCACACAGTTTATCCAACACAATGATTCAGTCCTTTAGTCCTTTCACAATTGATCCCCTAACGCTATTCATACAGTTCAGATCACTCAGCGCGTCGTTCGTGGTTTGACTTGTTGTGACTGTTTTCCAAAGATGGCGCCGCCTGTATACACGAAGTGAACTGTCTTCATAAAGTATCTTCTTATTAAACGGTCTGTACACTTACAAAGTTCTCAATGCTTCGTTTTGCATGTATGGACCCTCAATATGTTACTGTGTTAGTGTGGGGCTATTTTGAGCCTTGTTAGTGGTATAAAATAGCGATTTCTTTGTACTTACTCAATGCCCCCAGTACTAGCATTATACGTTAAACAGTTTTTAGAGATAAAACTCTTTACATTCGATTATCATGAAAACAAAACTCAGAGAACAGTTGACTAGATACCGATTTTTTATTAGACCAAAGGTTAATTTTGCACCGGAGTTCTCCTTTAAAGCCGGAGCAAGAATAATGTTTGCTAAGTTTTGTTGGTGGCCATGATGTTGTGGCCCTCCTCCCCACGGGGTTCGGGAAAAGTTTGATTTTCCAGCTCACTCCGCTAGTGGTGAATGAGTTAGCATGACCACACGTTAGCAATTGGCTATGACAGATCCTGAGTGACTCTGGGCAGATCCAATCGTTTTGAACTTTAACAGAGAACCCGCCTACAAGGAAGTAAACATTTCTCAATGAAGAGAGGCCAGACTCTCTGTACAAATGAAATGTACGAGAGTCGGGTAGAACCAGACTAGTAGTAAGTGTCCTTTTGTATTAGAAGTTTATCTCTACAGTCTTTGACCAAATGGCAAGTGTCGTCTGGTCTCCTGTGCTGTCTTTGAGGGTTGCTGTGCCGTACCAGCCTCACATGGAAACAACTGGAACCTTTTCCGAAGTTCGAAAAGCAGCTTTTGTTTCTCGGTACATAAAGATAAACTACTTACTCTGATCTCAGACTGTGATGATGTGGTTTCTCCAATGCATGGATCTTCATGTGTATCTTTAGGTGACTTTTAAAAGAGAAACTCATTCCACACTGATCACACTCTCTCCTGTGGATCTTCTCATGTCTTTTCAGACTTGATAACTCACTGAATCTCTTCTCACGGTGTGAACACTTGTGAGGTTTTTCTCCAGTGTGGATCCTCTCATGTGATTTCAGAGATGATGACAGACTGAATCTCTTGTCACATACTTGTAAAGTTTTTCTCCAGTGTGAATTCTCTGGTGTTGTTCGAAATTTGTCCCTGTTGCAAAAGTCTTCTCACACTCA